GTTGGGTGAAGTGATTGGGTTTTAGCATTTGGTTTACACAAATGATTCATTCATATAAAGATCTTATATTTAAAATATGATAAACATTTATTTTTCACCACTTTTAATTTGATTAATGATTGTGTACTTTTGCTCAATAGATAGTTTATTGCGCTTTGAAGACATTTTAATCACAATTAACTAATGATTTTGATTAATTTATGGACTAATCGCTATGTTTTTTGATCAATATTTTAAAGCAATTTTTGGTTAAGTTTTTGTACAAAAAAAACATGTTATTAAAGCTATCCTCTATATATCATAAAAGGTTTTACTTTTTTAATGTTCACACAACTGATCCTAAAATGCATTGAATGTTGTATAATAATAGTACCAAATTGTTCACACAAATGGTACTTTTTTAACATTATGTCTATGCAGTCCAGGGTTTGGTTTATACAAATGGTTAGTTCACACAACTGCTACTTCACCCAAAATGATCCAATACTGTATATTCAATCATTAAGCCAAAGTTTTTAGGCAAAACGACTTTTAAAACAATTGTACTGTTTTTAGAAAAGAATATAAATTAAAGCAATATGATCAGTAAAAGTTGTTTTTAAGGTTAACGGGATTTTATCTCACGTTAGAATGGATCTATCATAACGTGGGGAAATGAGATATTGACTTAGTATTGCATGCATTTCTAAGCCAGGTATTACGGTAGTTATTTAGTTATCAAATAAAATAGTTTTTTAAATGCCTTTTTCAGAGATGACAGCGCTGTTTGGTTGACAGGTGTGGCGGAACATTGAATACGTCACGTATAGACCGCATCCAACAGTGGTGTTAGTAATACTCAAATGATCGCCAAATTTGATCCCAAAATTAGGAACAGTGACCAAGAATTGCAACCAATGGAGCACTTCTTGAGCATCAAAATCAATGCCAAACTCAGTGAATCTCACAAATATCCTGACAATGACTTCTCATAGCATCGCTCGCAGCCGAGACATCCACAGAGATGTCTCTGAGACTGACATCCGATCCGTCAAACAATCGGTACTTTTTTGTGGCAAACGTTGGGATCTTTTGCACCGAAAGGTAGAGTCGGAACCAAAGGGCACCAAATTTATCGTTAATCATCATTTGAATCAAATGATTGCCATAGAGTTTGCACTCATTCTTGTGATACTTCCAGTCATTCTTCTGACACTCTTTACTGCAGTAATACATGTAAAGACATTTCGAGCATCTCTTCAATTGATCCGATTGTTTGAGACAATTGTCGCAATATTTCCCTTTGAATTCCACATCCAATACGTGAATGAATGGCATGTCTTGAGTGATCACATCTCCCGGTGATAACGGTTTCGACAGTTTTGGTGACATTTCTGGCCATAGATTTCATTACAATTGAAAAACACGTGTTTTAATAGGTTTTGCAAAATTTACCTGAGATTTGGTGATTGGATCCGTTTGTGTGATATCTTGTGACTGAGTTTATGATCAAAGCGATGGACTTATAATATGAAAGAGTTGTCCGCAAAGTGTGTCTCAGTTTATGGACTGATCTGTGGATTAATGCGTCAAAAGTGAGACCAAGTGTTGACTCAAAGCAATCATCACTTGATTTGTGTTCAAAACCTATGGCTTATTATTGGCTATAATTTGAGCGCAAATTTCAAACAAAAGTATATTTTATATGAATTGGTTTGAAATGAATTTATTTATTGACTAAAATTGTATACAAATTAAAAATTATATCAATTATTAAAAATCAAAACTAAAATCATATTAAAATTATTGATAGCATATAATAGGCTATATATTGTGTATTGAATTACATAATAATTAGGTATTTATTTGACTTATTTTAGCAGTAATTCTGTTTGAAAATGAAATGAACAACAATTACTTGAATTCACTCATCAATTAGAGTGCAAACAAATAATACAAGTTTTGCTATTAATTACAATTAATCACACGTTTTGTTGTAATTTATATTGAGATTAAGATTACTGATCAAAACGTATAATTAACTCCAAATAAGATAAGTTAATCATAACTTAATTTAAGTAAGTGTTTTACATAAGAAAAGCAAACATTTTAATAACTATACAACGAATTCATCAAATAGGGGTGACTTTGTCTTAATTGATCCAAAGTTAAAGTCTTGAATGAGTGACCACTTAATGGATTGTCGGCCGGAAATGTCACGTCAATTGCTTTCAGTAAATCGGCTTTCATTTCATTCATAACGGGTTCGGGAATTAGCGGACAATTCATTAATTCGAACACAATTTTCAAGAGAAACATAGTCTTCTGCGGATTGTATTCACCGAACG